CAATTTTATATTTCTAAACGCTGGGAATTGCTCAAAACTGGTTTTCTATTGATATCTTGGATTGTTCTGGTTGGTCATCATTCGATTTTTTTCTTCTTTCTACAAGAGTTATTGATTGATAATAGGGCATTCATGGGGAACTGGTTGGTCCAACTTTGAAAATATTGGCTTTTCAGACAGGTGTAACTTTCACTGGAATCAGTACAATTTTAGCTGCTCGTGTCGGTGGATACATAGCTGGAACAATAGTTGGAGCAGCTATGCAAAAAATAGTTAAACGATATCCGGAAGCTTTACTTGCTGTCGCATTTTTTATTGCATCTGTTGGTCAGCGAACTTGAATCTTTTGTCATTCGATCATTTGATAATTTCTAGTTGTTTTTGTCACTCCATATATTGGCTCATTGTTGGTTCTATCAATTTTGTTCTTCTGTCAAGGTATCTCTCAAGGATTCTCTGGTATCGGTCAGCTTTCTTGATGATTCTAAAATATGCAGATATTGAATGGCGTTTGTTTTAGGTGGCACAAGCTTTGTATTGGCCATGTGGGATGAACATGCATCAACTCCATTGAATACGGTTAATTTGGGCTTTGGATTTGGTGCTGTATTAGCCAACATTCTCGTAGCTCAATTTCTTGATGAAGGACAGATTGAGCTATCGAATTCAAATCTCAAGTCTACCATGGAAACTTTTTCATTTTCATCTTCAACAAATATCAAGATTCCATATTCAATTACAGCGAGTCTTTGTTTACTGATAATCATCGGTCATATGATCTTTGCCATTTATGAACATCGAACTCGACGTCAAATACTTCAAGTTCAACAAGTCAATTATACTGCCGTGAATACGACACATCTCGACGAAGCTCAAGCAGATTGTTCAGAACATTCGCCACAAACACAGTCATTTGTATTACAGCATATTCATGTCCATCCTATGGGCTGTTTACATGTTTTTCGTCACTGCTATTAATCAAACATTTGGCAAATTCTTTTTTTCTTATCTGAACTCCGCACAGTTTCAAATTTCAACGAAAACTGCCTCTTTAGCCTTGATTTTCTACTGGTTCTCGTACTCAGTAAGTCGAATTTCCAGTTCTCTATCAATATTGTGAGAAGAGATTTTGTTTCAGATCGGTCGTTTGATCTGTGCTGTGGTAACTTTGTTTCTGTCAGTTGAAGTAGCATCGATTATACTCTAGATCAGTGCATTGGCATTGGCCATAACATGAATGATTTATGTGTGGACAATTGGATTGTTCGTTTACAGTTTGTTTGTTCTCGGCTCATTCACCGGTCTAGTTTTCTCTCCAATTTTCCCCTTTTCATTTGGTTTTATCAATCAACGATTGAATGTTACTCCATTATTGGTTGGAGTGTTCTTGTGCAGCGGGTCACTCGGAGGGATGTTATTTATGAAAGTAGCTGGTAAGTTAACTTCTTTTGTCTAAAAGTATAATGCCCTCAAATTTTACTTGTAGGTGCTCTGATGGATAAAAATTCGAAACATTTTCCCACATTACTCATTATATGTGTTCTTATGGCGATTATATTCTTTTGTTTCACTTTTTTTCTGTCTCTGTTACATCGTCGACAAGACGCTAACAAGCTCTAACCTCCACTTCTGACCAATATTTCCTTTTGTGAACCAACCATATAAGTACAGCAAATGATTACGTAGCTGACAGTAAACAGAAGAAATAATCAATTGATGCTGTATCATTCGTTGTAGATTAAATGTTCGTTTTTCTTTAATTGCTACTATTTGATATTTCTCTCTCGAAGAAGAAGAAGAAGAAGACGACAAGTATTTTCTTTCTTCTTACGTCGCGTAGTCTCACACCCTCAGCATATTCAGGAGTTGAGTGTGGGTGTGACTGAAGAGATTAACTATACCTATACCCACAGGTAACTGAAAATTGGTCTATACCAGTATTCTGAAGAATATCACATTTTTATGTATGAAAATTTCGTCGGTGTGTGGTATGGGTGTGGGTGGGTGAGAATGTTTCACTTTCTAATCCCGTAAAGGCTGCAATAGCAGGTTTTGTTTTTTTCGGGTTATCGATTAGTTGAAAACTGGTACTTTGTGTGTTAAATGACAGTATTCTCTGAGTTCTAAACTACGTTATTAAAATTAATGAATTTCATATTCATATTTAGACGAGTCTTTCCTTACTCGTATTTTTAAAAGTCAAATTTCGACACTTGTTATCAGATTTGCTAAGAATAAAACACTCATATTAATGAATGATATAAAAACAAATATCTTCAGAAATATTTTAATTATTTTCACCAAGCTACACCATTTACATTTTGATGCATCTTTGAGTATGAACACCAAACCAATATTTAATTGGCAATGGAGGGTGTGGGTGGGTATGAGTGTCAATTAAAAGAACAGCCACACCCACACCCTTCAGCCATGAAAGAAACAGTGTATCGCCTGCTCTCTATGTACATCACTTGGTTTGGGAACGGTTCACTTTCTTATTATAAAAAAAAAATAGATTATTGTTTTACACACTTCCTTGCTGATCTTTGTGTTCATCTTAAACTGGAAAAGTAGCATGCAAGTGCTTGTTGTGCGCCTTTATGTCTTTTCATCTACATATTATAACGAATTTTTTCAATAATCGAGGTTGCAAATGTAATTGTTCATATTCCATCACCATAATCTAATCACAAAACGAATAATTCTGTGTTTTCCAACAGCCAATAACTCCTTTTTGAAAATGTGCCATGAAATGCTGTAAACCGTCCACTGCTAAGCCCTTTTGGACATGTTCTTTTGCTTCTGTATTATTGGACAAGTATTTCTCATTGTCAAACTCATGTCCTTTAGCGCACCGATACTTGAGGTAAATATATAGAGTATAATCAGTCATCTGTTTTATACCAAGAATGGGAGCTGGTCGCAAATTTATCAACTTTAATGATTGCATTGCTTCCAACTGTTTGTAGGTATGAAGAAAAGTGTTTTCATAGTCTTTTGAATATTCGAACTTGATACGCGTACAAACCGGTCCTAGATCGTAAGTTTTCGCAGGTTCTCTTATGTATGGTGGAACACTTTGATCTGCTTTGACTAGATATTCTTCCATTGACTTACTGTAGTAATGAACCAGTGAAATCTTCGAGTTCTTATTCGAAGGTACGAACTCCCTAGAATAATTGCTTATTGTGCAATACACTTCATGGGGAATATTAATAAGTGTTAAATTAGGTCTAGCAAGAATCTTATTGAGTGAATGAATTCCGCACTCACGTGGATAGGCTTCGAATAATGTTTTATTCTGCTTTAGTAGCTTAGCTTCACCATACATCATTAACCATGGAATTTTGATTGCACACACTCGATTTTTTTCCAGTTCCGCAAATAGATTATTGAATGCATGCACGGCAATGCCATCCTTTTCATAATATAAGTATTCATCAGTATCAAGAATGGTCACCCAGTCCGCATTTTTACCATATTTATCGAGACATTCAGCACTGTTTTGATTTTTAATATTATCCGACAGTAGGCTGATCGTGTCCTGATGCCACGAAACATGTGTTACCATACCGGCAGCAATGAACGGTGCAAGAAGAGCAGTAATATTAGTATCATAACCAACCTGAATCCTGTTATTATCATAGATAACAATGTGAGAAAAGCCGCTTATCAAATGTCGGAGAAGAAATTCTAAGAGATGAGGATCATTCCGAACAATTGTACAAATCAAGGATCGGTACTGTAAACCATGTAAAGAAATAGCCTTAGAGCGAACACGAGATATTATTTCAACTGCTTTGTCGAATTCGGATACTATAGTAGGAACGAATGTAGGACTTGATAGATTTGTTTTGTAAGCGAATATAAATAACACAAATAACAATAATGACAATAATGCCAAAAGAATGATTTTTGTAGATAATAACTGACAGTTGGGTAATGCTAGATATTTCATCATTCTAATAACTTATTTACTATCTTGTCTTAAAATTATAATTGTTATTTCGACTAATTTCAAACGAAACTTCGATCTTTAGCTGAAGCGTTTCAATTGTAACGTAAAGAAACTCTGCTGGAGAGATGTGCAACAGTCTAGAAATCTTTCTAAAAAATATTATGAACAGTAATTTTATAATATACATGTTACATTTTAATCGAAACTAAATAGTAATGTCTTCAAAATGAGGATAAACTAATTTTTAAAAGCGATACGAAACAATATGAACTCTAATAAATGAAAGACGACATTGAAGATCTACAATATATATTTCAGTTTCAGCTGTAAAATTGTATTTCAGGCAAAACTAAAATGAAACCGAAATATTTTTGAATAGCAAGTAGAAACCACATTTAAGAGATAATTCATGAGTATATAGAACACTGGTCAATAGAGTTGTACTCTATAAAAATGTTGACCCCTACACGTATTGATCAAAATCGAAAGAGAATTGTCAAAAACTCTGGATCGCAATTTTTGAGCTGTTCTAGCTTGCCTTCCAAACATTATGAAGTAGACGAAGAATAGACTAAGGATCCATTAATGATAGTAAACCATCCATCGTAGTACCGATAGCATCAGTACACCATTCAAGGGATCGTGCAATGCATCAGTGGGATGTGAGCATGATGGATAAAGTACTCATATCCACATTCACATACCAAAAAAACAATTTTAGAGAGAGTTCTGCTAGATCGAAGGAATAGTATACAAAGCTGAAATTTTTAGTGCAGGTACCCTCTATGAAATCTGGCTCCAGTGGAAATTTCAATTTTGTAATCTATTCTAATCACAAGGTTTAGGATACTAAATTTGCCAAAAATGTGAATTTTTAGCACTACTGATTGAGTCGTGGATGTGTGGGTATGTAACACCTATGTAATGGAAGTTAATAAGAATATTACTTATACAGTTTTGAAGAGTGAATTTTGTACTATCGAATGAAACATTACCCGAAAAGATTCTCATAGCTTAGTATGGAGCGAATGATCAAATACTGACTTACAAAATTTTGTTAATTAAAAATTTGGATTTCTAAAGTTTTGTCGACATTCGCTCGTTTACAATCATAAAGTGCTGAAATATAAATGTGTATGTGAATACTTTATTCGCTGCATCCATACCACACCAACAACCAGATCCGCACTCACTGTCGTAGCCTCAAAATAGAAGTACTATATGATAATCACAGCAAATAAGCAAAAAGATATTTGTACGTATAGAACAAATGGAAAATATAATAGAAAAAAAAGAATAGTTTACTTATTATTAGGCCATCACACGCTAGGCTACTAGATCTACCAGCTTTATTAGATTGCAGTATGTTTCTTGAAAGTTTTGATAAATGGTTACTTGAGTCAACACAAGAACAGATACGAAAATTAAGACATAGCTGAGACAATCCGTCAACACCACAATTTTCACAACAACTCTCATCAATTGTACTAAGAAATACCAGTGTTTCAGTAGTTTGACGATTACTATATTCATTACCAATTTCAAATAATAAAAAAAAATGTGTCGTATAAATTAATACTCTTTCAAGTCACTTTTACCTTTGACATAACAGAATAACACAAAGTAACAAGAAATGTAATTGCTAAATACAGTCTGCCTATAATCGAAAACAGATACAAAAAAGTACCTTTTAAAGCGTACAAAGAATATTCAACTATATACACCGATGTTCACTGAATGCGTTTTACAACACAAATACTATGTAGACTGTTTTTTTCCTTCTACAAGATGTTATGTTTTTCGATCGAATTTTTTTCTCTTTTTGATCTAATGTTGAACTTAGAAAAATAATAGAAA